GAGCTTGATTTCGATTATAAGGTCCACCTATTACAAATAATTTTCCAAAAACGTAAAACACGTGTATAGAAGTTGATAAAACTGTAAATATCATAAAATACATGATTAAAAATGAATTGAAGGAAAAATGAGTTTTAAAAATGAAGATAGCTCAAGCAATTTTTGAAATTGAACTAGTGTTTCTATATTCAATCATGCTGCATGTACAGACGTTCTCACATAACCCCACAGAACACTCACACCGGAAGTGGGTAATTTTTTTTACTTTTTTATTGAGGTGGGTCCCGCACATAACCAACCCCACAAAACATTCACACGTGGAGTGGGTAATTTTTTTACTTTTTTATTGAGATGGGTCCCACCTCTTGCGAGAGGTCTAGGTGTACTGTGAACCCCTGCTTCTGTAAAAGGGGAAAAACCCTTCTATATCAATCAGATGAGATAGATCGTACAAGATCTGGAAACAACTAGCACCTTGAACTCAAAGTGAAAAATTGTGGCAAAATTTGATTGCACCCTCAATTTCATTATCTTCAATAATTTCTAGCCTAGAATTATCCAACTATCATCCAATTTTAATGAAAATGACAATGCTAAACACAAAAAGGGTGCCACGTGTAAAATATAATAATATAACCTTAAATTATTGTCCAATATTTTATCCGTTCTTGACTCATTTCTCACCGTATAAAACCACTCATTAATTTGCAATAAGAAAAACTTTATTGAAAAGACAAATCCAACCACTTTTAATTACCCCTCAACACTTGGAGTTTTTGTTCCAAATTTGTTCGTTAATGCAGTGTACATGCATTCACCTTGAATCATAGTATTTGGTCAGCCAGCTAGACTCATGTCTTCAACTATTTCAAAACTTTGTTAGTCACTAAACTTTCAAAACATGTCGCTTTAGTCGTCGGAAGTTTTATTTTAGCACACGATCAACAATTACTTGAATGTTAATTGACCCCATATCACTCACGTGAATACGCGTCATGAACATTATCGAATTTACCTTATCTGGATTAAATAAAAGTTGAAGTCAGCGTTTAATTATATTTAAATAAAAAAGATCTTTTTAGACAATTTTTCTCTACCTCAATCCGATGTCACGTGAACATTTAATTTCTAAATAAACATTTTTTGTTAGCTCGAACTTTGATGCCACAATTTTAAAAATTTGGGCAAGAGTGCAATAAATAGTTGGTTCGTTATAAATTAAAGAGAGGCCGGAGGACCTTTCCCTTGACGTGTACCGAAGAGAATTTGACTTCACGATAAATTGAACAAAAAGAGGATTGGCCTATTAGTTGTGCGTAACAATTGAAGTCTTTTGAGGAATGGAAATATAGACATAAGAATGAAGGTTGAGGACGTGAATGCCACACTCTCAAAAGGTTGGAGATCTTAGGTGGAATTTACCCATAATTTAATGCAAAAAAAAAAAGCCTCTTTGTGCATTTCGCTTTGTTTCACACACTTGTGGGATAGTGCTGATAGAAACAAGAAGGGACTCTTTATATATATATTTTTCCTTCTGCAGCTTCTCATAAATAAGAGTGCTATAGTTAGTTGATTAAAAATGGCACAAAAAGGAAGTTATAACTATGGAATGTCATCATTTCCTGTGAGTATGTTTGCTCATTTGTTGGCTATAGCAGTAACCATTTTGGTGCTTGTTTGGCTTCTTCACTTCCGCGAAGGCCTCGCTTTCAAATCAGATAACAAACAGAAGATTTTCAATGTAAATTTACAAATATTTGCACTGATATATGATTAATTAGTGTGTATAATTATTTGTCAATCTTCAATTGTTTGCTGCATGCTGCAGGTGCATCCACTGCTCATGGTGATTGGTTTTGTTTTGACTTCAGGACAAGGTAACAAAATTTTATGATAGTTTCAGATTTATTTGTCTTTCTTTTGACGTTGGAAATAATTTTGGGTTCTTTATGGAAACTATACGTGCTAAGCTGGTCCGATGTCAAGATTGAGGGGGACAAGCTTGGCTTGGCACAAATTTGTGGCTTGGCCGAGGAGGTCCTCGATATGCATAACCGGACTAGCCGAACCATGTCTTGAGTAGAACCTATGTGGTGACTTGGTACTTTTTTTTGTAATTCCCTAGTATTTACTTTGTTGGGTGCACTTGAGGTTTTAGGTGTAGAGATGCCGTGTAACTGTAACATTTTTTGCAAAAGTTCTTGCGGTGGTGTTATTATTTACTATTCTTTATTTCTTCTTTTCTGTTCTTCATGGTTACTTTTAAAGGAGAATCATGGAGTGAGTTTAGGAATAATCCCAAATTCTCAACACTGTCTAATAGTAATGAGCACATGTTAAAGATACAAGGACACACAACATGGAGACGTCGAAACGTGATTTTTCACATATATAGTTTTATACTTTTTAATATAAAATAGACGCATAGCATATTGGACACTTAACCGAAAGGTGTCCCCACCATAATCTCTGAGTGTTGAAAGTCTAAAAAAGCATATAAAAATGGAAGATGACCGGTAGCTTGTCCGATATGATATGACAACACGGAAACGCCATCTTAATAGAGTATTCGTGCTTCGTATCTATGCCGTTGTCTAATCTCATTTTTGTTGTCTGATATTGGATTATTCACAGCTATAATGGCATACAAGACAGTTCCAGCAAGAAGAAACATTAAGAAAATATTTCACTTGATTTTGCATTTGATTGCTTTGGCTGCTGGCATTGTGGGCATATATGCAGTTTTTAAGTATCATAATGAGACTGGAATTACTGATATATATACTTTACATTCCTGGCTTGGAATCTCTACCATCTCCCTTTATGGTTTGCAGGTAATTATTAAAACTCCTACTCATTTCTCACGCTTAACAGTATATTGGCAAATTTTAGAGATTAATATTTGTGATAATTTCATGCCAAAATCTTTAAAAAATTGTATTGTCAGTGGCTTTTCTCCTTCATTTCCTTGTGGTATCCTGGTGCAAAACCATCAACAAGGGATAGGCTTGTTCCATGGCATGCCCTCTTCGGTACGGTTATATTCTTCATGGCAATTTTGAGTGCCGAGACTGGTTTGGTCGAACGATTCATTTTCCTAAGCTTGAGACGGAATCAAGAAGCGCTCGTCGTCAACTTTACCGGTCTGTTGATACTGCTATTTGCTATATCCGTCGGTTTCACTCTTCTTCTTCAGCGTGCTTATTAAGGTATATATCATGTTAAGTCGATCGCGATCATCCTCCTAGCTAGCTTAGTTCCATGTTCAAAGGATTGTTAATGTTTGGAAAATACTCGTAAAGTAGTATATTTTGAGCTCGTACTCAACTTTGCTGACCTATTGATACTCCTATTTGCTATTTCCATTGGTTTCATCTCTTCTTCTTCATTGAAAGTATCTTAGTTCTGTTTTGAAAGGATTGTTAATGTTGAAAAAATGCTTGTAATGTAGTGATTTGTACATTGTTACTATTTTATATTAATAAAATAAATTTATTGGTGTATATTTCTTTGGTCCCCAATCAATCACATTAAGAAAGTAATATATTTTGTCCCAACCAATGTATCCCAACATGGCACCAGACATCCTAATATTTAATCATGGTGGGTCCCTAATGATGGAATTAAATTATTAATCCATTTCAACTGTTAAGGTCATGTAATAAATAGATAAAATTGTCCTCATCTTTAAATAACAATAAAAGACACCACAAAAAAGAAAAAAAAAACGTGTAGGATAATATGGGTTCAAGTCCTCGTACCAATTGGTACCATATTCAATTTTGCACAATTGATACAAGTATTCAACTTTGCCCAATTCGTATAAAAATTATTAATGTTCCAATGTTTTGAAGGTTGAAACGCGTACCAAAGCTCAACAATATTTCTACATGATAGAGCACTGTAGTTATTTTTACAAGGGAAACACAGATATGCAAAAGGCAAATCATGTAAATTAAACTAAATAGATGCTATCTAAAACACCGGTGCCAGCAATAACTCCGCCTTCGTCTGAGGAAGACACCTTCGTCCGCATCAAGTAACCACATTCCTCATTTATTATCACCTTTGTCTTGTTCCTGTATGCATATTCAAACACAGGAAACAAGACAGAAATAACCATATTTGTCCATGATGATGAACTCGATTCCAATAATTTTTTTTTTTTCATTTCCTTATATTTTTTCCAGATGAAAGCAAACAACATTGCAAAGGGGGAGTTACCTTAAATATGCTGCATTGATACCAAGTTCTGATACTACATGATGTTTTTGAGAAATGCCTTGTCGCACAAGAATCGCAGGAAAAAGAGCGGGAAAAATTCTCTGCATAAGAATGTAAGCTGCATTTTCTTCTGAGCCTTCCTTTTCTATTCTAAGTAGGGTTTCTCTCACATCATCACCATAGATATTGTTCCCTGAAGTGAGATAGGTAAGAACAAACAGTCCATAATAATTTTAACAATAATCTAGATTCGTAGTGACGATATGATGTCAGACCTCCTCCTTCTCTTTGGGGCTTCATCACATATAATCCGGGTTTCTCAATAGCATCATTAACAATGTTGGAGTCCTCCAGACTCCATAACCCGGCAAAGCATTTACGGATATTGACAATATCGTCTTTGTTTTCAAGAAATCTGCTCACAACATCCACATTATGGTACAATTAAGCACAACAAGTTGACTTAATCTGCCTTCAAGGAAGAGTAACAGACGCGTACAAGTTACTTACCTTTCGAGTACATTGGGTTTGGCAAGCTCTTGTTGAATCTTCTTGGTGCCAGCTAAATGATACGCAATTGAAGGGCACTTTATTGCCGATGACTGCTCCATCAGTAGCCTAGCTCTCCATTCCTACAAAAGAATTATGATATACGGACAAATAATCATCGAGCCTAGCAAAAGCAGAGAGAAACTTGGATCCAAATTTCACCACATGCTGAAATTTTAATATTAAAAAAAAGTAAGAACGAATGAAGATGAGTTAACACGAAGTTCCTGTTGTTTAACAAAATACTGTGCAATTCCATAGGAAGATTTCATTTTTGACTGCGAGATACAGAGTCTGTAGAAAACTTAGATACTGCATTTGATTCCAAATAAGAATCCAAACCTTTACTTATGCTTCACAATTCTATATATGTAATGTAAAGCTCTTCATTCATTAAATTGAACTGAATTGAATCGAATCGAATCGATCAGTTCTTCATAAGTTAAATACCCAAACGGGTATCTGAATCAAGAACCAATGTGTTTGTTTGGTTCTCGGTTCAACCGAAGAGCTGAATCTAAATAATTTTTTTATTTCTTATATTGAATTAATTAAATTATTTTAATTTTTTCTAAATAAATTAGAAAATTAACTGATTTAGTTGGACAATTTTTAGTTTATTTGTGTTTGCTAATTGTGTTTTTTCAATTATGCTTGTAGAGTTTCTTAGTATGACAAGTCAAACAATTGATAATTAAATTAAATAATTGGTAAGTATTACCAATATTTAAAAATATTTTATTTTTATAATTTTTAATTTATATTTCATTTTTTATGTAGGCTGCTTGAAGTAAAGAAATTATCAATATAGATCACCGATATTTTAGTATTAGTGTCTACTTTTTGATATTTGTATACATTGAATTAATCTTATTAGACAACTCGTTATTTATTTGTTTTTAAATTGGGCTACATTAATTTGCAAAAGTTACGAATGAATATTTCATTAGTTGTATTTATATAGCGTTGTTGTAAATGTTAAAAAATTTAATTATGGTATGGAATTGAACCAAACCGAATGAAATTGAACCCGCACGGTTCTATAATTATATTTGGACATGACTGTTTCATTTATTAAATACTCAAAAATTTTGGTTCGATTCAGTTCTGAAGAGAATCGAATCGAACCGAACCGGACCATGTCCAACCCTAGAACATAATTAGCCTATTTTAATTTGCTCATAACTACATGACTATTCGAATTTACTCATTAAATTTAAAGCCTTCAAATGAGATAAAATTCAAATAATTAGTAAGTATTACCGATACTTAAAAATATTTTATTTTTATAATTTTTAATTTATATTTCATTTTTTATGTAGGCTGCTTGAAGTAAAGAAATTATCAATATAGATCTCCGATATTTTAGTATTAGTGTCTACTTTTTGGCATTTATATACATTGAATTAATCTTATTACACAAATTGTTATTTATATATTTTTAAATTGGGCTACGTTAATTTGCAAAAGTTACGAATGAATATGTCATTAGTTGTATTTATGCAGCGTTACTGTAAATGTTAAAAAATTTAATTATGGTATGGAATCGAACCAAACCGAATGAAATTGAACCCGCACGGTTCTATAATTATATTTGGACCTCACTGTTTCATTTATTAAATACTCAAAAATTTTGGTTCGATTCAGCTCTGAAGAGAATCGAATCGAATCGAACTGGACCATGTCCAACCCTAGAACATAGTATAACACAAATTATAAGCTTGTGCAATTAAAGATGATAGATGCCTCTTGCAACAGAAAGATGAGTACACTGTGTGCTACAAATCAGGCACATGTATTCACCGATTCTAATGAATAATCACATTGAGAAACACAAATATACTCACTGATTCTGAAGGATAATCTCTTGGTCCATACCCAGCTCTAAAATATACTACTGCAACTACTTCACCATCCCTGCAATTATAAAGCTCCTAAAGATTGAAGCAGAAAGAGTACACGCTAATTCTGTTAATTCAGGTGATCAAATTTGTGCTTCAGTTCCATTAGATACATACACAACAAGTGTTCCATCTGGCAGAAGCTCCCCAAGAGCATCAATTTCTGCCAAAGTCTTCTTAATACTTGTAACTTGATATGTTCTATTAGGTTAAGAAAATACATCCAGAAGAAATCTTGCGACAAACAAACAAGAAAGATAATAGTTCTACTCTGTTTACCTTGAAACATTAATAACTAAGTACGAAAAAATGTACGATGAGAAGCATTTTACATTACTCAAAGGGATATCTTTCCTTCAACGTTGTACAAAGCCAGTGTTGATCATACATATTTCGTTCTTCAGTTTGTACCACAACCATAACTACTGCCCTGCATTGGATGTTTAAGTTCATAACAAATTTCAATGAGCTAACAGTTGCAGATTCAGAATTAATACACTTCATTAAATAAACCAAACCTTGGGTTATTATATTCACTCCACGCTTTAGACAATGCTTCGGCAAACTGAGTAAAAGCATTGTTTTGTGGAATCCTTTCAGGATTTAGTGCAAGGTATTGTTTATATTGATGAAGTAAGCTCCTGAAAAATGAAGCTATCAATCCTCTCTTCTGTTGGGAATGCTTGACCAAAGAACAGAAATCACATACGGTAATTATAACTATATTTAACGGTGCAATATCTCGAAAATCTTCAAAAATTGAAAGAACGGCTCAGGGGACTTGGAAAGAAGAGTGTTCAAATTTTCAGAATGTAGATTCTAAAGGGATTTTCCGAATCGGCAACAGGTATTTATGATTCAATGCCAAAAAATTTCAGTCATTTGTTCATGATGTATACTTTAGATAATTTTCTCTTTCCCTCCTGAAAAGTAGAGAGAATTCTAGTCCATTAAACCAGTGAAAATAGATTCAGTTGTAAGCATGACCGAACAAGGAATAAAACAACGTAAAAACTCGAGCAAACATTTAAAATAACAGGATAAGAAATAAAGTATATTTACAGAGATAACCTGTGAAGCTCACTAACAAGACAGCCCAGCGCGAAAGAAGATGATGAAATTGTGTTGAGCTCTATTTGGAGAAGTAATTTAGTTTGTTCATCCAGCATATAGTCTGAACGATGTAGTCCTAGACGTATTTCCTAGGTTAAAGGTATATAAAAATCAGGGTACATAATCCACTACCATGTATAGTTTGTAAGCATTTGAAATTAATAGCAGAAGTGAATAAGCAAGACTTTTCAAAATCATGATACAGTAAAAATTGAGTGAAAAATCATAATTGCACTTCACATTGAACATAAATGTTGCATTCTGGGATGCTCGAACTTGGCATTTCGGCCGGAATACCCGTGTCGACACGACGCGATATGGGTATGGGTGTGAAAGATGGGTGGATCCTTCAATTTTCAAGCGGCTATGGCAATTGAAATTAATTATGTCATTTTTAACTTTTACTTTAATTTTGTACTTT